TGTCGAGTAACTGAGGAGCCCTTGTGGTACAATAGTTAAGTGCTTGGCTGCTAATTGAAAGGTTAGAGATTCAAACCCACCCACCCACTCACAAGAGGAAAAGCCTGGCAATCTGCTCCTGTAAAGACTATAGCCTAGGAAACCCACAGGGCAGTTCTCTGTCGTACTGAGTCTCTAGTTGGAATTGTCCAACAGCATGTAACAACCAGGGAAGAAAAAAGCAGCTCATCATGTTAAGTTGAACTCTGATTCATAGGGACCCTACCGGACAGAGCAGAACCACTCTATAGGGTTTCCAAGGCTATAAATCTTTACGGAAGCAGACTGACACATCTTTCTCCTGTAGAGCTGCTAGTGAGTTCAAGCTGCCTACTCTGAGAACTTAACCACTGTGTCACCAGGCCTCCTCACGTGACCACCACCACCAATTAGGTATGTTGTTGTTGTTTGCCCTCGAGTCAGCCCCGACTCATAGCGACCCCTCCTTGGGTTTCCGAGGCAGTATCACTACGGAAGTAGGATTGCCCAACCTTAGGTATAGCACTCATATAAAAGTTAGTGCCTTTCTCACCTTGGTCTCAGTTAAATGTCACCTTTTTCACAAAAGGAACAACTAATTATTCTATTTTCTTGTTGATGTTGTGTGCTATCAAGCTGATTCCAACTCATAGAGATCCTATAGGTGCCCTGATGGAGATACATATATAGAAGACAGTTTCTGCCAATCGAAATGACTAAGACTCTAAGCTCATTTTAAACACAAATTGATGTTCTCTATTTCTTCCCCATTAATTTTTTCTCAATCAATTTTTAGTAAACCAAGACGAAATACATTCTCAAGGGAATTCTGAAACACTTTTTAAACGTGACCCTGAGTTCATCCAGACAAATACCTATAAAAGGATTAAAAAAAAAAACCTGGCAGAGGAACAATACAATGCACTAGTTACTAAGCAGTAACCCTGTATCTAGCCTTGAATGTTAAAGCATGTTTTTGGCAACCAACTTATTTGCTTATAGGCTCAAACTTCCAATATAAAAAAGTCCTGTAAGGCTTAATATTTGCTAATCCTATAGTTTTCTAGAGGATAAGAAGGTGGTTAGGGAACAATCCTCCATTAAAAATAAAAATATCCCCAACTGGTATTAGAAACATCAATTTTTCCTCCCCTCATATTTTTAAAAGAGGGTAAAAATCAACTGTGAGGGGAACATTTGATAGGAAATACTATCATCCTGTGGATTTAAAGAATATTACACATAGCAAAATTCATCATATTGTAGATTCTTAACTACAAATGAGGAGATCTGGTAGTGTAGTGCCTAAGGCATTTGACTGCTAACCAGAAGGCTGGCGGTTCGAACCCACCAGGCACTCCTCAGAAGGAAGGTTGGGCAATCTACTTCTGTAGTGATACTGCCTCGGGAATCCAAGGAGGGGTTGCTATGAGTCGGATCCGACTCGACGGCAGTACATTTGGTTTTTGGTTTGGAACTACAAATGAGGAAAGTGAGTTAGTAATATACAATCATCCTATCCTGTGAATTTTTAAATTACTTAGGGTCTCACTGTAGCTGTCTAGAAGACAATACAAAGTATGCCAACATCACATACAGATTTAAAACTCAGTATTTCTTACCTTATACTTAATTTATAAATTAAATACAATGTTAGCTGTAAATGACAAATATCTATAAAAGTAAGGATTTTAAAAAAAACTGTCAGAGGAATTATAACGAAACACCAGTTAATAAACTAATCTTGTATCTAGCTTTGAACGTTAAAGTATACCCTTGGTTATCTATTTCTATTCGTAAGATTCAAAGATAGTGCTATTTTTAGTCAAATATTTGCTATACAAAGGCACAGTAAATGCTACAGAAACACTAGTAGTGGTAATCAAAAAACGTACACATTTCCTTTACTTATGAAATGCAAGTTTCATCCAAATTCTTACAAAACGTTTTTACAGATCTTCAGTAAGAAAGGTAAACCAGAGGTCACAAATAGTAAGCTGTCCAAAATTATACTTGCATATGCATTTTGTGTGGCCAAACATAAAACAGGCATTTTCTTTAGGTTCCTACTTCTTAATACATTCTCCATTCTTACTCATGTAGTTCCTGAATGCATTCAAGTTTGTGAACCTTAGATTTAATTTTTGTCATTTTGAACACGTTAAGTCAAAGTGAATCATTATGTAGAAACTCATCTTGGAAATTTTCAAAAATGGTCTTTATTTGCTACATTGCAATTTAAGTTTAATTTGTGTAGGATTGAGACAAAGTAAAAGACTCACAACTTCAATATTCTGAACTTTGATGTGCTCCACATTTTTTTCTTTGAATTAGATTTAACATTTATTTGAAGATAGATAGCTAGTGTGGGAAGAAATAATACTATGGTACTGATGTCACTTTCCTAGAGAGAAAATACATTTTGTTCCCCCAATTTATTTTCATATCTATGACTTAATAGTGGAACTCAGAAATACTGCTGAGCCCTTGTACTCACTGCTGCTGAATTGATTCCAAGTCACAGAGACCCTCTTAGGACAGAACAGAACTGTTCCGTAGTTTCGAAGGCTATAATCTTTATGGGAGCAGTCTGCATCTCCCACAGAGCAGATGATGGGTTCAAACCATGAACATTTTGGTTAGCAGCTCAGTATTTAACCACTGTGAAACTATTAAGATTCTAAATACTCTAAGAAGGCTCCAAAGAAGTAACAATGGGATTAATTTACTTGTTAGGCTACAATTATTTAAATACTGTGCAGGTGGATGAGAAATCAATTTCTTCTTATAAGATCATGGCATTATTTACATTAAAACTCAACCTTCCATTTCCCAGTTCTGAGTTACCTTTTCCATTGTTTCTCACAAAGGTAGAAACCATTTAAATCTGAAGACAAAGAATGGGAGATTCTCACTTTAATAAACAGTTCATAGGTCAGTGCCCATGACCCCTGACTGTACCTTAAGTTTTCTGCTCTATGTACCATCATTTCAAAACAATAAACTGTACAAGAAAAAAAAATTGCATTTTGTGCAAGTGACTCTGTCCTATGATTAATACCTTTTAACCCTTGATAGCAACCTTATTGTAAGTAAGACCTAAACAATAAAAATAAAACCCATCATTTATCACTGCCTCATGTTAAATGACTCTCTTATTTGCAAGACTCCTGGCAATACTGTGGTTCATCCAGTAGTGTTGGTGGAAGAATAAGATTTTTGAATTAGAAGAGGAAGGGATTACTGAAAATCTTGCCTTGGAAACCACCACTTGTTTTTTCACTCAGAGACGTTTGGAAGCATTCATACACATGTATTCATTCGTACATGGCTCCTGTCATTCTAGCCACTGTGCTATAAGGCAAACATGGTATCTGCCCTCTTAGCGAGTACAGTGTTAATGGTTTTTTGTAGGGAGTTTGTTTGCCTACTTGATAGTAGTTAACACCATGTAAGCTTTATAAGGGCAAGCTTTGTCTCCTTCCCTACTACATCCTAGTAGGTGGTTGTTGTTGTTGTAATGTGCCGTCAAGTCGGCCCGACTCATAGCGACCCCTCCCTCCGTTTCCAAGGCTGTATCACTATGGAAGTAGACTGCCCAACCTTTCTTCCTAGCAGGCACCATATAGTAAAGGAGCTCTGGTGCTGCAGTGCCCAAGGCATTTATTTGACTGTTAACCAAAAGCTTGGCAGCTCAAACCCACCAGCCGCTCCACAGAATGAAGACGTGGCAATCAATCTACTTCCATAAAGATTTACCACTTTGGAAATCCAATGGGATTTACTATGAGTCAGAATTGACTAGATGGCAGTGGGTTAGTGTATGGCGTTGTTGTTGTTATGTGCCATTGAGCTGGACCTGACTCCTACCAACCCTTCCTTGGGTTTCCGTGGTGGTATCAATACGGAAGTAGATTGCCCAACCTTCCTTCCCAGGAGTAGCATATGGTAGGCATCTAAATCTGTTAAATAAATACAGGCTCACATACTTTTACAACAACTTCTTTATTCTATAATCACTTGGGGTATTATTATAAGGTGATATGTAAACCCAACTTGTTACATTTTGCTTATAGGAAACAAGATAAATCCCACAATGACTCCAGCCAAATAATAATCAGTATCAACAGTCATTAAAATGACCTGCATTAGAATAAATAAAGAGTAACTTGAATGGTTATAACCTTAAAGACACATAATAGTCTTGAGCAAATCATACTTTCTGTACCTTGTTTCAAAAGAACACACGAAGTGTTACCTATTACATATCTTTGGAAATATCAGTAAGAAATCTGGGCTGGTCTCCCATTTGGAAATACATTCATGCCACATGAGTAGAATTCCCACAGATTTTAAATTACAAGAATTGTTTTTAGTTTTACTTTAAAAGAACTACTTACTATAATTTAAGTTAAAAAAAAAAAAAAAAAAACAATAAAATAAGGTTTTGAAGATTTGCCAAAACCCTATTTTCCTTAATTCATAGGAATACCTAATTCAATCAATGGAAAAGTAACAGAACAAAAAGAATAGAAATAGTTTACCTTTAAGTTCAGTTTAAACAATAATTTATCACAATTCATTTAAAGAAAGGCTGCTAACAAAGTTCCTGGCTTATGAACAAGTCTTAACAGTATTTTCGCATATAATGCATGTACATAAATAATGCACACACACATGCAACCTGTGGAAATGATGAAAATAAGTAAAACAGTTCTGGCATACTGCATGTGTTATCTGCAGACAAAAAATATGGTATTCATTTCTGATGCTGTCTATATGCATATATTTCTGGGATACATACACTTACTACCATAAAATTTTCACTCCACAATACAAGAATAAACTGGCTTTATTAGTGAAGGGTCAAATGAATAAAAGGTCCATTATTAATTTAAAAACTAATGAAATTATTAATTGATGTCAATGCTGAAAATCACACTGTTCAGAATATCCTTCTTTTTGACAATCAGTAAAATTCACTACATACTAAAAATAACACCACATTTATGCACAAATAAATTCATTTTTCCAGTAAGAGCTAATCTTTCTTTAAGAAGATTTCCCACATATTCACAGTACATAATATCACAGAACACCCATATTTGGCCTAAATGTCTCTGAATTGTAGCATTACAAGATGGAAGTTCACTGTGCCTGATAAGTCGATTAAGTTTTGCCCAAATGTCTTCCAGGTTGTCACAAATAGTGTGTTCTATTGTCCATCTTCCTCTATAAAATGCATGTAAATTTAGTGCCTTTAAACTATCTTGTAATTTTTTAGATAAAGGAAAAATCTTTTTAGTACAATTATTGCTGGAAACTGAAACACTCCAAGACCTCTGTAAGTGCTGTTTTTCTTTTCCTGATTGTTTATCCAGATTTCCAGAACTAGTCCGTTCATCCAGTGCGTGTGACCGGGTTAAGTCCTTCTTTATTTTCAAATTAGGTTGAAACTCCAATAGATCTACTGTGCAATCATAACTCTGTGATTTAACATCATGTTTCAAAGTGATTAAGTTTCGTTTCACATCTTCAGCTGCCTCTTCAGAAATCACAGGTGGTGATCTCTCAGGTTTAAGTGCAAGTTTAGACCCATCGTATGGAAACCAAGGAATAAATCTTGAGAGTGGACGAGTAGGAAAGTCTTGAATTACTTTTTCTACAATTTTTGGCAGTTGTGTGGGATCATTCTCATATGGTCGATAATGTAGTATTACTTCTGTGGTCATTGTGCAGTAATTCAGTTATTCTTAATGCAGAGAAAATTTCTTAGCTGAGCTCCTTGGAGCTAGAATATTATTTACAATTGTAAGACTGTCTCTTTCCAACTCAGAGGGAAACAGGACCTAAAGTGGAAGTAGTGCAAAGAATAAGATATGGTAGGGATAGCCTGCACACAAAAGGGCAGGGAGAAAAAGACAAAAATCAAACCCAGTATGACATTTCATCAATGACTAATGGTAAACATGAATATACTCTACACACCTAAAAAGAAAAATTGTCACCAAAATAAGGGATCTGAATTAGATGCCCTGTAAGATTGCTTCTAGTCCAAAAATGTTAGTAGTCAACATGCTTCACTCAACAGATAAAAATATTTGCAAGTATCAATTATTAACATAGTATTAATAGTCTTAAGACTACAGTAGAGGCAGCGTAAATCACGAGGATTCTTCAAATCCTGGATTCTTATGAGAGTAACTAATTAAAATATAGTAATACTTCAAAATTTGAGACATCTGAAATGAGGACAATGAAAAACACTGTGATCTTTAATCTGGAATAAAACTGAATAATACACTTTAAAATTAAATGAATTGTACCAAATAAATGTATAGACAGAATATTTAATGATTTTATCTCATTCTCAGCAGTAAACACTAAAGCATAAATATGGTTTAACTTGCATTTTAACCAGGGTACGAACTAGTTTTGTGACAAAGTCTCCTCCGTTTAACTGGGGCACTTGAGCAGTATGAAGACTCTCAATACCATGGTTTTGATGAGTTTCATGAATTCCAACTTGGAGTAGGACTATGTATAAGAAGTCCAGACCCTTATTTTTTCTCTTACTTCACCGAAATCCTAAAAGTTGCCTCAAATTAAGTCACTGATAATAGGTTCCAGCATATAGCACATAGGTTCAAGAATGGAATCTTCCAGAGTCTCTAAGTTAGGTTTCCTAGCCAGATCCAAAGCTGCAAGAGTCATAATGCAGGCTTTTCATATCCTAACCATTCTAGAAAAAAAATAAGAGGCCGAATCCCTTCTCCCCAAAAGTTATTAGAGAATTACTTAATGGAGGTTCTCCCACTGGTAGGATGTCTATGAGTGAGGAAATCCTGTCATGATGTCACAATATTCATTAGATCACAATATCCATTGTCACATTCTGAAGAATCAGAGTAAGTAATCCTATAATAATTTGTTTCACCAATCATGGTGCAGTGAATTATTTGGTATGGCTCTTCTACAGTCTTTGTGACTCCTGCCAGACACTTATGTGGAACTATGCAAAATGTAAGGTATTGTGGCCCACCAAAGGGATTGGATAGCTTGTTAGTAATGTAAATAAGGTACATGGCACCCTTGTGGGGGTTGTTGTTATGTGCTGTCGAGTCGAGTCGGAGGGACTCAGCGACTCCTCCTTGGGCTTCCTTGGGCTTCTGAGGCAGTATCACTATGGAAGTAGATTGCCCAACCTCCCTTCCGAGTAGTGGCAGGTGGTTTTGAACCGCCAGCCTTCTGGTTAGCAGTCAAGTGCTTTAGGCACTGTGCTACCAGAGCTCCTTCTTGTGGGGGTGGGACTGTGCAAATAAGGTATACAGAACCCTAATGTGGGGATAGGTCAGTTTTAAGCTAGGCTTACAATGAGCCCTCCCAGAGGCAGAAGGGGGGATCTCAGTGCCATCAAGAGAGAAGAGCCAGAGGTGGAGTGGAGCACGTCCTTGGACCTGAGATCCCTACACTAGACTTCACCGGCAAAAACCATTAGAGATGGCGACAGCAGAACCCAGAGACTGCCATGCAACACAGTGTCCCCAGAGTGAGAAAGCTGTGTTTTGGGCAGGAGGCTTGCTGGAGGAGTGGGGTGTACGTAGGTACACCTATCAGCAGAGGTAAAAGAGCTTTGTAACACTTGTTCAAGCAGAGTGGGGGCCAGGCCAAGAGGCCAACGGCCAAAGAGAGGCATGCCTTTGGGCATTGCCAGTGGAGGCTGTCCTCATTCAAGAATTGTATCCTGAGCATTCCTGAACCTGAACTGTAACCTATTACTTCCCTAGTAAACCTCCTAAATCATGAGTACTGTTTGTGAGTTCTGTGTGGCCCTTGCAATAAATTAATGAACCAAAGAGGAAAGTAGTAAGTGTCGTGGAATCAGCCATGGGCTAATGACGATGATTTTCTCTCCCCATTGTGAAGTTAGATGCTCTGATGGCATAGCACCTAAGGCATTTGACTGTTAACCAGAAGGCTGGTGGTTCAAACCACCAGCCACTCCTCGGAAGGAAGACTGGGCAATCTACTTCTGTAGAGATGCCACCTTGGAGAGGTCACCTAAGAGTCAGAATCAACTCGATGGCAGTGAGGTTTCTTTTTTTTTTTTTTTAAGTTAGATGAGGTCAGAGGAAGAGACGCTGCCCCCACGTCCTTTTTGCACCAACCAATAACGTCCACAAGAGATTTGACAACTCTTAAGGACATAAATAACAAGGATCCTTAATGTCCACATTTTTATATGAATCTAACTATACGATATTCTTTCAAGAATATTGCTTTCATTTATTTCTTGCACCATCTTTATACTTTCACTGTAAGTTATGGCATTGAAGGTTCCTTCATTGCTGTTCAACTTATTCAGTGACAACTGAAGTTTTGAGAGTACTTTTTAAATACTGTCTCTTTTCAACTGTAACAAGATATTTTCTCAATATTTTACATATCAAAATCTAAGTAAAGTTAAATGACTACATAACTTGATATATTTGCCATATAGCAATAAAATTAAAGCTTGTAAAATTTTTTGATTAACTAGCACAATAAGAAAGAATGATACTGAAGAGCTTTAATAAAACAGAAACTATCGATGAATTTCAAAGCACTCATCTTCACAGGTTGTTAAAATACTCTTTCCCAGGCATCTTCTATTTTGGAAAATAAAGAGTAAGAGGAAATTAAAAATTCCCAAAGACAACTAGTCTCTCTATCAGTGGAATTCAACTGTAGTAGCTTTTCATTAGCACGAAAGTCACATTTAACAGCTAACAGAACTGTTCCAAATTCCCATAAAAGCAGTTGGTAATGATCTCTGAAAATGCTGTTGCCTCTGAGGCAATATGGCATCTTGAAAAGATGGAAGCAGGCCTTGTGTTGAAATACTACCTCAGTCAATTACTAGCTATGTGTTTGTGATAGTTCTGTTTGTGTGTCAACTTGGCTGGGCCTGGTTGAGTGACTGGGCACCTGATGGTAGTTATTCCCCATGATGAGACTGGCAATCAACTCCATGGTGGGATCTACCACAAGCAGGTGAGTAGCTGCCTTAGGGGATGTGGTCTACTTCCTGTATATAAGCAGAAGCCTTGGGGAACGGTCTCTAGCCTATGGATGCTTGGACCCTGCATGTAGCCATGTCGTTGTTCAGCAGCCTGCCATGCTCTACTGACCTTGGTACTTACAATGGACTTAAATTAATGGCCTGCAGTGAGGTTTGGTAACATCAGTACTGTGCCTTTTTATTTGTTGACCTTGGGCTTGTTAGCCTTAGCAACCAGTAGCTGTCTGAGTGAAGAGATGCCTCCCTCTAGCTTCGTTGGGCTGGGAGCAAGAAGCAAAGCTGAAGCCCAAGGTCGAGGGGCTTTCACACAGTCCCTGGAGCCTGGCACTTCGAACTTGGACTTAAAGCCTTCAAACTCTTAAGAGAATAAACTCCTGTTTGTTAAGGCCATCTCGTTTGTGGTATATATTCCTGTCAGAGCAGCACTAGGTAACCAAAACAGTGATCTTGGAAAAGTTATTTAAACTGAGAGGTATTTCCTATTCCACATATTTGATGTGAGATTAAGAAAAGCAAACAAATAAAATAAAAAAAAAAAAATGCCAATTGGTTCCCTTTCTCCAGGAATAACCCATTTCAGTGCAGATTATTTGCTAAGGCTTATAAGTTCCTTCACTATACTAGTTAATACTGTAGGGCTTCTTGATTCTACAGCCAAAGACAGTATAGTTAACCCCACACATCAATATTTTATTTATATCATGTTACTTATGTGATTAGTAAGTTCTATGTTTGATGTCTGTATTATAACAGAGGATTGAAGTCCTTAAAAATGGATGCCATAAGGAAGGTAAGTGCGATTCAACTGAGTTCAAGTGTCTGTTGAATATTTCTTCATTTTCTCAGTCTAAGAGGGCATTGATAACCAGACATTAGGATATCCAAGAAATTAAAAGGTAAAATAAAGCATTATGCATTTGAAATAAAAGGTGTTTAGAACAATAGGAATTCCAGAAAAACTCGGCCTACTGATTTTTCCAAAATAATAGACTAAACAAATCATCATCACTTACTCAAAATTGTTTTGCTGTGTAGAGAAAATGAAAGTTGACACGAGATTTTGGAAAAAATTCCGAGCAACACAATACTGTGAGGTAAACTGCAGTTAAGTTTTAACAAACCTTAGTCATATGCTTTAGTACTGTGTATTTCTAAATCCTAGGCACTGCTGTCATGTAGTAGGAGCTCAGGTGGCATAGTGCCTAAGGCATTTGACTGCGACCAGAAGGCTGGCGGTTCAAATCCCCCAGCCACTCCTCGGAAGGAAGGTTGGACAATATACTTCTGTAGAGATACTGCCTCGGAAATCCAAGGAGGGGTCACTATGAGTCGAACAGACTCGACTGCAGTGCGTTGTTGTTGTCATGCAATACTAATTTTACGGAGGAAAATGAAGCCTGGTAATTTCGTCAGTGCCACATAAATTTATAAAAGGAAAAACCACTTTCGATGCTTGCTGTAAATCATCCTGGTTAACAGGGATATCCCCAGGACGTCAGCTTCGGCGGCTAAAATCTGTCTGATAACTGTAGCAACATTTACCAGAGAGAGTAATGTCTATACATGCAGAGGGTTGCTCTCAAACCTAAAAAACAAAGAGGACAAGTACTTTCCTCTTGTTCGGCTCCTAAAGGACAGAGCAGGAGAGCGAGCTCTGACAATGTTGAAGCA